CTTTGTCGTAAATCGCGTCGAATAACGATCGTTGATGAGCCGGCAGCTGAAAAATCACTATTCATTTTACTTGTTCGACCAAAAATAATACTAAATTTTTGTGATATGAGCAGAGCGCTTTTAACTTAATAAGATTTGGCAGACGAATGAATCGAGAAGTATTCAATTCTCTTAACTTTACTAGGTGGGGCTTCTCTCAGCGCTCTGCCAGATCACTACGCCATCGGCTTTTCGTGTAATATTTGTGTATATCTGCATGTGCGTCTGTGTGCATGTGTGTCCCATGCCAACAGTATGACAGCAACCAGAAGGTTGCAAAATGTTTCCAGCTATTCCGCAAGAAGCCGAATTTTTGCGAACATTCTACGAGACGTAGTAGACAAATTAGAAAAGATTGCTCACACTGTACTGAGACGTTCAGGAATGCTTCCAGGATCCCTAATGCATAGCAAAAGATTTCATTAATTACCACCGAAATGGACGGTCTTATCTGCGCAGTACCCACGTACTGCTCCGTAAAAGTTTTTTGCGGGTAAGTCGCTAACTCGGGAACCAGAAAAGCTAGAAAGCTGAAATTCTAAGGGGGTGTTCCCCGTCCAAATAGGTATTAGTGAGTTCAAAACCAGCCCCGGGGTAGGCATGGTGCAAAATTTGGTTGGACAGTGATCAGCGTGCTCTAGACTGAAAGCGGTAATCCTCCGGAAGCTGGGACAAGTTAAATTTGAAGCATTTTTAAATTAAATTTTGTAGAAATTTGTTCTGCAAAAAAAGTACAGGAACCTTGTGCTTGTTGTGGGCTGGTCACGATTTGGTCAGTTATTATTCAAGTAAAAAAGCAAAACAGCCTAACAGCAAACTGTTCTTGTAACCCTAGTCACAAGTTCTGGCTTGTAGCTAAAAGCTAGGGCTTTTGCCAAGCAACGGGACTGGCCAATTTGAAAATAATTCTTTCTTCCTAATCTCTTACAGAAACTTTTACCTGTGTAAAAGTTCTGTTGCTGCTGAGGACATCCATTCGAGCAGAAGATGACAAATCGTAGTTGTCGTTTCCTTCCGTAATCGTTGACGATTTTTCTTCGCAGTGTGGAGAATCAGTACCTTCATCATCCTGTCAAAATTTAGAATCAGAAGCATCCCAAAATCCGCACTCTGAGAGAGGCGAAAGCACTCGGAAGTAGCTCAAGTGGTAGCAAGTGCCAGCAGCACAGTAAGCTAGTAAAATAAGCTGTGTGATCAGTCTGCAAACAGTGAAAAGGCTCTCTGCGGAGCCTATGCTTGTCTTCGTAGAATTCTCAATCCCGCAGCCAAAAAAGTCCGAAAGACCGAATTTCGTGCTTAGTTTTCAGTAAAATTCGGGTCTTACAACGCAAAATTGACTTACTCGCTCCTCTTCGTCTTTTACGTACAGAAAATTACTGTTTGTCCTGAAGCCATATCGACGACAGAAGGTTTACCAAACTGAAG